CTGTTCTTAAGTCAACTGGCCAGAGTTTGGGCAACTCCATGACCTCATCCTCCTTGTTGTGTTGAAGAAACAAAGATAATGACACTTTCCCAAGGCGGCGGCTGTGTAAGTCTTAATTTGTGAGTGTTTGTAAATGGCTTTGAAGATGGCAAAGGTTATTTAAGTGCTAAGTATTACTTATTGTGGCTCTGAGCTCTGTGCCTCCTCCCCATTGTCACGTTACAAAACAATAAGGGATATGGTTAAAGAGCCTCTGAAGTATCCAACCAGTAATAGATTAGGTAACCTTGGCCTGAGCCCTGTGATGGTATCTGCAAACCTAGCATTAGCTTTGCAGCATTTTTGTGTGGGCCGGTGGTTGCCTAATTTGCCCTTGAACGTGCCAGCAGCAGGCCCTGCCTCGGGTTTGGCACACAGGTGATGCAAACGCTCTTTGGTCAGACCTGGTTGCTGACATCATGCTTTGCTGTGTGCTCTTTGAGATGTAAATTAGGTGGTGGAGGAGTCCCTGGTCCTTTCATCATTGACACTTAATGGGAGAGAATTAACATTCGTTGAGCCCTTCTGTGTGCCAGACACTTTTATGAACATGATCTCATTTATTTTCAAAACAATCCAATGAAGGGGGCATGAATGGCCACATTTTACAGATGGGAAAACTGAGGCCCATGGAAGTCAAATAATTTGCCCTTGATCATATAACTAGTAAGAGGCCTGGCAAGGATTATGATCCAAGACTGTCTGGCTCCAAAGGCCATGCTCTTTTATTATATTAAACTGTAGGCATCATGCCCTACTCTATTCTCCACCCCCATGGCCTGCTCAAGTTTTACCAAATCCCCTGTTGAAACCTCTTCAGTGCCTTTCCACTGCTTTAGATGAAAGACCTACTTCTACTATGGCCCCTTCTGCCTCTGGCTCCCTCTTCAGCTTCATTCCACCCCATGACCCTGTGCTCCACTATTTCAGTTCCTCGAACATGCCAATGCCTCCCTTCTCTGGGCTTTTGCACAAAGTACCTTCAAAGGCTTATCTTTTCCTTTCACTCCAGCTCACTCCTGCTAAACCTTCATACATCATTCTCTTGGGGATGCCTTCACTGACACTCCAGACCAGGAGTTCTCCATCAAGGTCCCTGGACCAGCAAACAGCAATATCACCTGGCAACTTGTGGGCAATGCACATTCTTGGGTCTCACCCCAGAATCCGAATCTCTGGGCAGGGGGCCCAGTGCTCCAGGTGATTCTTTGGCTGCTTTAGCTTGAAAACCACCAGGCTTTCTCCTTTGACACTGTTGACATTGCACGGTGTTTAGCAGCACCCCAGCTCTTATCTGTTCAATGTCAGCAGCACTCCTGTGTATGTCTTCACCTCCCTCCAGGTTGCAACATCCGAACAAGTATTCAGACACAGCTCACTGTCCCCTGGTGGAGAACCACAGCCTTAGACTGAAGGCTGTCTCCCTGCGAGGCATTCCTGTAACTCCTGGGCCTTATTGGAGTTGTCGCCAGCATGTCTGCTGTTACATTGCTGGCAGCGAATGTACTGCAGCCCTTAGCAGGTTCTGAGGGCATAACGAGGTGACGTGGCAAGCTTGCATTGCACCTCCTCCAACCCAACCCTGTATCAGAACTTTTGGGAGGTGATAGGACTTGGGGCTGGAGTGGGAACACAGGCCAGCACTACCTGCCAGCAAGTCTCCTTCCTCAGAGCCCTGGGAGCAAAGGGGCTCCTGCATGCCCAGCCGAGCAGGATCCAGGGACTGCTGCTGCCTTTACAATACGGCAGCCAAGAATGTGAGTCAATGCAAGAGAGGAAGGAATTGTTCTCTCAGAATGATGCAGAAGGCCCTAACCAAAGATGGGCTCATGCTATTGTCACCGAAAGAGAAACAAAACCGCATTCTGCCCACAAGAGCAATAGGGAGATTATTGGCAACAAGACTGACTCAGCCTGCCTCGTGGTGGCGTAGGCCTTTGTGACAGCGGTGCGTGCAAGTTACAGGAGGGACAGGCAGCTCCTGACCCTCTGCTGCCTCGCATGTCCTCAGTCGGAGGCAATTCCCAGAGCCTGGGGAAAGGAGCGCTGCGGAGTGGAGGAGGAATGAAGGTCTAGCTTGCCTCCCTTTTCCAAATGGATGGTCAGCTTCACCATCCCAGCTCCATAGGGAGTGGATGTGAACACGGGGTGCTTGGTTGGCTACGTACCCATCTGTCCTTCCGTGGGCTCCACCACTCCTGGGAATCAATGAGTTCCACTGAGTTCCTAGCCAGTGTGGCTCAGTGGACAGAGCGTCGGCCTACGGATTGCAGGGTCCTGGGTTCAGTTCTGGTCATCGGCACATGCCTGGGTTGCAGGCTCAATCCCCAGTAGAGGGTGTGCAGGAGACAGCAATCAGTGATTCTCTCGCATCACTGATGTTTCTATCTCTCTCTCCCTCTTTTTCCTCTCTGAAATCAATAAAAATATATTTTTTAAGAAAGAAATTTATGGCAGACACATGGCTAATGTCAGACTTCATGTCACCTAAAAGATTATTACAATTTGGGAGTAACAGTTGAGGTATGAGAAGGTGTGGACCTAAGAGGCAATTATTTTGAAAGGAGGAAGAAAAATGGGGAAAATAGAATTTTTTCTATTCAAAATTTTCATTTTTCTTTTATTTTTTTTGTTTCATGTCTGTTACCAGATTGTCCCAACAATTTTCTTTTCTGCTTTTTCACTTAACATTATATTTTAAGGCTGTCTGCAATTAGTGCAAAATGAAATCATTTTCAGAGTGGTACCTAAGTTCAATTTCAGTTCATTCCCACATGTAAAGGCATTAAAATGTCCCAAACATAGAACAAGAAATACAATATTCTAGCACATACTAATGTGTTCACTTAAATCTAAGGACCAATCTCACAATTTCTTTGACACTAGAGATCTACAGAAATCAGTAGTTATGAGCTACTAACCTGCAATCTGTAATGATTTGCATAGGTGCTGAAGCATAATTTCAGTATCGTCTATATGCCAGCTCGATTTAACCAATCTCATTGTGGGCTTTTGCAGTCATAAATAGCTTTACAACTTATGTGTAGGACTTTTATTTTTTTTCTGAAATTAAGAGCATTTCCTTTGAAATGAAGTAAAAAATTCAATCACTGGTTTCGAAAATATGAACACATTGAACCTCGATAAAATTGTCGGTGAAACTGCTTTCCAAATTAAATTCATTAGCAATGTGCGAGTGCATGTAGTTAACTTATCCTTATCAAACTCAGGTGAGACTTTAAAAATATATAACAGAGAAAACTGTGCCTCTGTGTTAGCATTTCTCGGGCGATGGCTGAGACCGAAGGGGCAAGGCCATATGTGTTTGCGATTTGAGGCAGACATGCCCGACACCAGGCATCATCCATTTGTCTCTCACGCTGCACCTTACAGCATGAAGAACAATTCAGCATTGCTTAGCGCTAGGTGTTTTTCTGCCAGAAGCGTTTCTTTCATGCCTACTACATTCATGAAAGCTATTTTTAAAACTGGAAAAAACAATGCCTCCCCACAACCCCAAACAAATCCGCATTCCCCTGAGGGCTGGATCTCTCCTTGCAGGAGTTAAAGATAATTTGTACAGAATCAAATTACTGAAGAGAGTTGTAACCTGGTTTCAAATCCTCTTGGGTGTCCTCACTCGGAGCTACCTTGAGTCCTTGCAATTAGAGCAGAGGAGACTGATTTAAAAGCCACGTGTGGTCCAGAGACAGTTGATGGAGAAAACACAGAGGGCAACTGTTTTCCTTTTATCTCCTTCCTCCCTCCTCTCTCTATCTCTTTCACTCTCTCTCTTCCTCGCCATCTCCCTCTTTCTCTCATGAGGCATCTATTTTAGTCTGAAGTGGAATATATGGCAAATAGGGGTTCATTAAGATAATGAATACTGTAATATCACTATTAAATTACCCTTGGCTGTCCATGGCCGGTAGCTCAGTTGGTTAGAGCATCATCTTGAGGAGTTACATCAGGGTTTCAGATTTGATCCCAGGTCAGGGCACACACAAGAATCAACCAATGAATGCATAAATAAATGGAACAATAAACTGATCTCTCTCTCTCTCTCTCTCTCAAAAATATTAAAAATAAAATTATTTTTGAAATCTGTTTATGATATCAGCTAATAATACCTTAAGTAATGTTCTAATCACTTAATAAAATTAAGATCAAAAGCCAAATTTTAATTAACTGATGTTTATGATGAGTTCACTTACAGGGAACCAAAGTTTGGTTTTTTTTACACTCAATACAGACAAAATTCTCTCTCAGATTAAGAGTCAGTCAGCGACAACACAGAGGAAAAGACGAGGTCAAGGAGGTGGGATGGAGGGACCCCAAGCTTCTTATGGTCCTTCCCAAACCTTTCCCAGCCAGAGAAGCAATGCCCTCAGTGAAGGACAGGAATGGTGTCACCTCAGTGTCTGGCCCTTGTCTCTGTTGAACATGTAAATCTTCAATCGCACATTGAGCTTTTATTTATCATTTAAACCATTGTGGGCAAGGAGGGTGTGAAAGGCAGTGAGAACTCATCCTGGCCTCTAGATAAGATCTGTGAAGATGTTGAGATACTGGCTAACCTACAGGTTCTGTTTCCGAGTTGAAAGTAAAAGGATGATCTGAAAGAAGGGATTGCCTAAGTGGAGAATTGCCATATAGGCGACACAATGCTCCTTCCCCATTCGATTGCACACTAAGTTATCCAGGGGCAGTGGTCTACATTGAAATCATCCCTTTGGCATATGGAGGTGCACTTTGGGGGGGGGGGCGGTTGGAGTAAATAATAGAGTCAGTTAATTTCTGTCTTCCAGTGTAGAGGTTTGGTGGGGGTGGGGGTGGGGAGAGGGCAAAAATCCAAGGATGTAGGAAAGAGAAATAGACTCTGCGACATTCCTTTGAACACAAGAACCAGGCAGAGCAATGAATGACATCCTAAATATACAATGGAAAATTTCTTCCCACAGATTGCTGCTAAATTTCTCCCTGCTGACTTGTCTGGGCTGATGAGGCACTTTCTGCACTGGGTGAGTTACTTCTTTCTTCTTCATGGACTGATTCTCTTGTAGGTCCTAAAAACGTGTCTGCCATTCATAAATCTTATTTGACTTGAGGTTGTAAATATTTAACAGGGGCTCATAAATAGGCCCCTTAAGTTCTTTTCCCTTCAATGTTCTGGTTCTTTTCTATCTTTCCTATTTCCCCTAACCCTTCAAAACCCCCAAGTTAAATGGAATTTGCATGTGTACACATATTTTGGAGATGTGTCTCTTTATCATAAGGAGTGCTGAACCGGAGTCAGGAGGCCTTGATTCAAATCATTGCCTCTAATTGCATTTGTCACAGGTCAGGTTGATTCCTGCCTGCTGGGAGTTGCAAAGGAGTGGGGGCTGTGTTCTTCGTGAAGTGCCTACATAGTGCCAAGAAATCTGAGTCCCCTTTTCATAGCTTGCCTTCTATGTGCAACATTCCATGACCAAGTGGTGTAACTTGTCCCTCATCACCCCTTATTCCCAAATCTTCTTTCTCCATCTTCCTCCTTTTCCCCTTTTCTCTTGTTATACTGGAGGGATTATCTAGTGGTTGAGCTAGAATGGTGGATATGCCAGGGCAGCTGAAATGTTAAGGTATTAGGAATTGCCCAGATTGTGGGCCATTCATTCAATCATTAAACATTCACTGAGCACCTACAATTTGCCTGGTACTATGATAAGTATGATTTTTAACCTAATTTTAACTGTGCTATTTACCTTATTGCATGAACAACATAGGTCTGCTGTACTTTTTTCTGAAAAGGCACACACATACAAAGAGAAGAAATAATACATAGTCCCACTTTCTACAGTTTACCACTACCGATAGTTAGATGTATATTTTTGAAGGGTTTTGACTATATAAGTATACACATAAAGAAAAAATATGAAAATATATTTATCACACATCTTATTTTATTATATATATTAACCTGATTTTTCACATGAATAATCCGTTTACCTCATTTTACTTTCTCTTCACTATTGGCTGGCTGGGTTGGAAGAGGTGATCTTTCTCACATGTGATATAAATTCATTGTAGGATGTACGTATTAGAAAAACATTACCAGAGTCCAATCCCATGGACTGGAAGTTCAAATTCCACGTTAAAACAAAAGAAGATGAAGATGCAAATGATGTCCAAAAAAAGTCCTTATTTTGAGTGATTTACAGGAAACTCCCTGGCCTAGTCAGAATCTGTTTTAGGAATAAGACGAAAATTGTAAGACCAAGCAGATTCAAGAGTGAAACATCTATGTCAAGGTGTGTTGGCCCAAGAGGACCATGCAAACACTCGGCCCTTTTACTAACAAATCAGTGTTTCGGGTGCAAAATAAACATCTGAAAAATGTCTCAAATGTTTTCCTAAATACGACAGGAGGTAGCCTGCTCATCTCGAATACTCTCATCCAACCATAACCTAGCACGTACTGTTATTACTTGTAATTTTCAGACAATGTGCCAAGTGCCATGTGCATTACTTAACCTACGTCATTTTATTTTAAAAGGGCTGTCCAATAGAAACGTTTGCCCTCATTTTAATGTAAAGTCCAACCCCTAAAGATGAGGGAATTTATCCCAAACCACACAGCTGGTAAGTAAACCCAGGGGCAACCCAAAGCTGTTCGGCTCTCAAGCTCGAGTTCTGAGGCTGCCACATGTCGCTGCCTCTGCCATGTGAAAAGGGCACGAACCATATTGAGTGAATAAATGAATCCACTTACCTTACAATTTATCTTACAGATGGATCTTAATAAATGTTAATTGACTGGGAAACCACAGCTCCTTCTAATTCTCTCACCAAATTTGATTCTGCACACGGAATGAGATAGTAAATTACATGTAATGAACTTGCTGACCAAACTACATTTCCAAGTTTTTGAGACCAGATCAGCTCTCTTGGAGTTAGCAAGGAGACAGTGAGAAATGGCTGGAGGCAATACTCTTCCAACACAACATTTCCCCTCCTCAGGTTATCATCATAGCATCAAGCCAGGGAGCCCTCCTGCCCAGAGACTTTGCTATCCCACATAAGGTTGGAGCCAAGAGATAAGAATTTGGTGCATCACTGCTTCTCAGAGTGTCTTGACTCTGACTATATCTCTGGACCGGTTTCCTTCACTGGAAAATGAGAAAATTAGTTTGAAGATGGCAAAATAGGGGTTTGGGGAGATTCTTTGCTTTCCATCGACTCCCAATAAAAACATCAAAGAATCAAATATGAGTAAAGACGTCAGTGAAACTAAGTAATTGCCAGAGGTCAACTTTACATTTGCCAAATAATGGTGAGGTTTGAGCTAAGAAGAGGGAGTAACTGTATACTTTGACATTGAACAGAGTGACAGCTAAAGCAACTGTCAATATCCCCGAAGGCCTATTCCACCAGCCTTTGAATGAGTAGTCCCAGAAGGAGGGTCATGGGAGGGCCTGGGGAGAGGTGAGACGTGTCCATCTGGAGACTCAGTTCACCTCTGCAGAAAGATATGAAAGAGAAGCCAGGCCAACAAGCCATTTCCACTGCCCATGATCCTACTGGCCAAGCAAGACTGATGAGTAGGCCCTTTTGCTTCTCAATATCTACCACAATGCCTTGTTCATAGTAGATTTAATAACCTGAAGAAATAAAAGTCACGAGTGTTGAAGGACCCACAGAACACTTTGAAATGTGTGCTGGGTTTGGATCTTCAGCTTTAACTTGTCAAACGATGAGGTTTATCTGAGCCCCTGGCTAGGTACCATCGTCAGGGATATGAAAATTGAAGAGTGTGACATCACTCCTTAACTCTAACCTCCAAGGTTTTTGTTCCTTTCAGAGGGTGTCTGAGGTGGCCGATCTCCTGCCCAACCCCCAGTTATATCTGAGGGCTTTGTGGTGGAAGAACATGGATAGTTAATGCATCTTCTAATTAACAGGAAAATGAAGACTGTGATGTCATCCCCTCTCTGACACCCTTATGATGTAACGTCCTGAAGACTGCAAGGCTCTTGTGCAGGAAGCACGCACCCCAGGCCTCGCAGGGTTGAATATCATCGAGCACTGTGATGACTCTCTCGAAGCCCAGGGGTGTCTGGAACATGGTGTCATTCGCTCTAATGAGACTTGCTGGAAAACCTACGGGGGACAAGACATCTTTATGCGTTGGCCATTGTGGAGAATTTCCAGAGAACTGGACACCAGGACCATGGGGGCTGCTTCTCACAGTTTATTTATTTTTTTCTCCAAGAGCTGGTGGGAGAATTTATCTCTGGGTATTATCCAATCTGTATTCTGACCCCTCATATTCACTCAACTAATGGCGGCTTAAGGAATCATCTTTTCCAGGGATCAAAACTTTATAGTAAGAATAGCTAACTTTCTTTGACTACTATTCCCCAAGAGCTCTGTTAAGAGTTTTACATGCATTTTCACATTTAACTCTACAAGGAAGATAGATTTTTTTTTTTACTTTAAGACAAATGAGGCATGGAGAGCCTAAATAACTTGCCCAAGATCACAAAGCTACTGAGTCCTAGAGCTACAAAATGAACCCAGCTGTCGATTGCCAGAAGGACTAAATAAGATAATGCATGGAAAGGACTTGCCCGAGTATTTGGTACAGAGTAGGCACTCAATAAATGTTAGCTATTATTATTGCATACTCTGTCCCCCTCTTTTTTTGGACAGTGGAATGTGGCAGAGAGGGCAGTTAATGATGCAAGCCTGTTGGTGCCCTCAAGTACCCACTGACTGACTCCTTTGCCTGCCACTCACCCTACTGGGCACCAACCCAGGGCTCTAAGGGAAGCCATGACTTATTCCAGCCAATGGCAATTAGCTGTCACTTGACTTAACATTTTGTAACAGGGCTCAGCCCATGCCAATTATGACTCCCGGGGGGTCATGTGTCACCAGGACATAACTCTTGAAGATCTTTTCTTTCCTGAGGACCTGGATTCAGCAGCCCCTGGGAAATAACCCAAATGTATTGCAACTGTTGTGTGCTATATAAAGACATGTTGGAGATGGAGTTGGTCCAGGAGGGATAAGGAGAAGGAAAGCAGTGTGGTTGGGGACCACAGGACCAAGGATCTTGGCTTAGCAAATCAATTAATTAACCTTGTCTCTTGAGAAATTCTAACCTTTGTGACATTGGCCTTAATGGGACCTTGGTGTGACACTGCAATGGACCAGGGATTAGGGGTCAGACAGTTTGGAGACTTTTATAAATAGAATTTAATTCCGTTTGTAAAACTAGCCTGTGAAGTGTCTGTTATTTCATAAATGAGGAAACTGAGGCTCATGGTGTCCATTTTGAGATGGTTTGAGCCCTTTCCCCCTCTTCTCTCTCCCAAGGTGGGGGATGTCTAATAACCATTTCTAACCTTTTATGTCCAAACAGAACCTTTGAATTCCGTTCCCCAAACCTCCCAAAGCTTGCTCTTCCCCCAACCTCCGTGTTTTATTGACGGACACTCTCATGTATCCCGTTCCTTAAGCCAAAACCGAGGGATCTTCCTGGATTTCACCAAACCCCTTATGCCCCACAGCTCCTCTTCACTGAGACCTCTTACCTCCATCTTGAAAACATTTTCCAAATCTGTGTGCTTTGCTCCAAATAAACCAAAACCTTCCTAGTCAACGCCCCATCCTCACCCACCTTGACCCCTCTATTACCTTCCTAACTGGTTTGTCATCTTCCTTTGCCCCCCTCCAATCTGCTCTCTACACAGTTACCGAGCAGATGTTTTCCCCAATGAAAATACGCTCCATCTCTGATCTGTGTAACATCCTCAAATACGACACTTAAAGTAAAACCCGCGCCCTAACCAGTTTGGCTCAGTGGATAGAGTGTCAGCCTGCGGACTCAAGGGTCCCAGGTTCGATTCCGGTCAAGGGGCATGTACTTTGGTTGCGGGCACATCCCCAGTAGGGAGTGTGCAGGAGGCAGCTGATCGATGTTCCTCTCTCATCGATGTTTCTAACTCTCTATCCTTCTCCCTTCCTCTCTGTAAAAAATCAATAAAATATATTTAAAAAATAAAATAAAATAAAAATTAAAAAAAAGTAAAACCCGCATTCCTTACACCAAGCCTGTGGCATTCCTCCAGATCTGGACCCTGAGTCCGTTTTGGATATCATCTCCTACTTCAAGCCACACCGGGTTCTTTATGTTCCTCTAACACCCCAACTTTTCATCAGTGTTGGGGGCTTTGCTCTAGCTAGTTCCTCCCACTGGCTCCCTTTGGCCTCAGGGCTGCCTGGGGCTCCTTCTTATGGTTCCTTCTCAGTCCAAGCATAACTTTCTCATGGCTAACCCTGTCCACCCAACTTAGTGTAAATCCTCCCCCTGAATCGCTCTCTTTCATGTCACTTCCAATAAAAAACATCAAAGAATCACCCTTATGATGTAACTGCCACATTCCATTGCCCAGATGTGTGTCTCCGTCTGATATTATCTTATTGATTTGGTTTTGTATTTATTGCCCATCTCTTCCAACTAGGAAGAGTGTGAAATCCACGGAGCAAGGATTGTGACTCCTGGTGTTTGCTGCCATGTCTACATTGCTGAGCCAATGGTCTGAAACAGGGTGTTTGTTGATTGAATAAATGACTACCATTCTAAGGCTATGATGGTTGTTTTGCGTCAGAACTAATTCTAGAGGGGTTTCATTAGGAAGAGAATTCAAATTGGTGTATAAATGTGGCCCCAAATATCGTTCCAAATCCAAGTAACATTTACAAATGTTTTTATTACTTTGGGTGCATTTTGGAAGGAACCAAAATCAAAAACAAAAACTGTTTTCCCTCAGTGTTCCGATCTCGGTCCTGTAAACCTCTGTCCACATAACAAAAACAAAACACAACTTAAAAACAAGACATTCTAAACAAGTGTGGGTCTTGGCTGTGGTTTTTCTTGGGTGGGGAGCTCTGGGCGGGCAGGGCCCCGGCTCACGCCTGACAGCTGGCCAGCTCGCTCCTCACTGCCCTCAGTCTCAGCATACTCATCCCCACCCAAACTTCTGTTCTGCTGCTCCTCTCTCCAGTACGCCCTGCCCTTCCCTCTTTTCTTGTCCAAGTCCGAGCCCCTCTCAGCCTGCGTTGCACTTCACCCTCGTCCCAGCAGCCAGGTGAGCTGAGTTAATGCCTCTGGGTTAAAACCCTGGCTTTGCTCCTACTAGGTGTGTGATCTTGAGCAAATGGTTTACTGTTTCTGACCCTCTGTCTTCTCCAGTGTGGAAAGGGGATAATACATAGCAGTCCTGCGGAAGAAATGGCCTCGTCCTTGTGAAGTGCTTGTTAGAGCGCCCCCTGATGCTAAGTGTGCCCACGTGACTTCACTCTGATGTCCCTTTGTCACTAACCCTAAAAAATGACATTTTCCTAGGTTGTTTGGTTATTGGAAATTCAACTATTCACTTTGAAACTTCAGAAGATTTTATTCTAAATCACCAGCTCTATTATGTATGGAAGTCTTTCTTCTGTACCAAGAAATGGAGCCCTGAGACACGGGAGTTCAAGGGCACTTTTTCCCTTGCTTCTTAGAAGGCTGCTAAGCCCAGTCTAGCAATAAGGGCCAGCATTTGCAGAGTGCCTTGCATTTTGCTGCTGCTGCTACTACTGTTATTACTGCCACTGCTATGACTGTTACTACTGGTACTACTCACTACAACTTTTGCTATTACTCTCACTGCTGTTGTTACTACTGCTATTGCTAAGACTAGCTAACATGTACTGGGGAGTTGCTAGGTGGCAGGTGATGGTCTAATACACTTTGCATTTGTTACTTCACTTCATAAGCACGATAGCCAGGAGGCGGTGTGCATAGTGGCTGGGAAAGTTAGTTCTTGGTTCCAGGGATGAGTAGCTGTGTGATTCTACGAAAGTTGCTTAACCACTCTGTGTCTCAATTGTCTGAAAATAGGGATATTCATCATCGAATAGAATCAATGAGATAATGCAAGTGGAAAGTTTTGAAAAGCTCTGAACAGTGCCTAGCATTTAATGGACATTCGTTATTGTTGATATTAAAAACACCCTTTAGTGTACATAGGGGTTATTTGTCCTGTACCATCCTGCCCTTCTCTGTGCTGTCACAGCACCGTGCTTTCTGCACACCTGGTGCATTTCCTACAGGTTTTTAATCGTCTTTTATTTCTTGGACTCTCCTACCAGCCTAGACTCCTCTTTAGAATAGGGGAATGAGCCTTGTCCACTGTTATATCCATGTCACCTAGCACAGGCCTGGCACATGCTAAGTTTTTAATATATGCCAGTTTGAATGGCTAAAGGACTGGATTTTTGAGCATGCATTGTAAACCAAATCTTTTGCTAAATTGTTGTAACATTTAATGCATATAACAACCTGATCAGATGGAAGACATTCCTCCCTCTGTTCTTCTCTTTCTTCCATTTTTTCTTCCTTACTTTCCCATTTTATAGATGAGAAGACTGAGACCCGTGATGTAGCTTAGCCAAAGCCAACCAGCTTCTCTGAATCTATAAATGAATGTTCTTGAATGATGTGGCTATTCTAGCCCTTTTCTTGAGAATAGCATCTTGACCTCACCGGAAAGCAAAATAATATAGCATTATTCTGAGGGCCTCTGAGCATGCCCAGCAATTCACATCATTGAGTATACCAATAGCTATATTTATGTGATTAAAAAAATTCCTGAGTCTGTATGTTTGGGCTTTTGGCTGCCAACTGAGTTGACTGCATGGCTGATCCACATCAATGTAGGAAAATTGTCTGCTAATCTTTTATTATCATGTTCTTGTTCAAAGAACTCTGTTCCTAATTTGCCTGTAGTGCGTGGACCCAGTAATTGAAAGAACATAAAGTATTGTTTCTAGTCGAAGAACAATCTCCTCTTAAACATTTAAATGATTAAACACACACAAACACTCACATTTTCATTATAAAATGTAATAAAATAATCCATATAGTAGAACATTTAGAAATGAATAAGAAGGAAAAAAATTACTTTTGATCTCATAACTTTAGAACCATTACTTTTAGCATATTGGTGATTTTTTTCAGAATTCTTCCTACTTACTTTTACATTTTCATTTGTTATAGTAGTATTCATATAAAGCTGATTCTCTGCTTTCCCTTAACATTTTAACAGAATAATTTTTCTCATTATAATATCATATCATGCCAATGCACTTAAATAGTTAAATGATACTCTCACAGACCAAAATCAATAATTCAATTTGGGACATGTTAGATTTGAGATACTTTTTGGGAATTAGAGTCGAGATGTGAAGCCGGCAGTGGGACAAACACATCTAGGGTGCCGGAGAGGGGCATAGAGATAGAAATGTGGAGGTTTTGAGTGGTGAGTGGTGTTAAAAACTGTGAGAGTGAATGAGGTCACCTCGTGGGTGAGAGTAGATTAGATCAGTTAGAGAAGAGACCAAAGACTCTTGGAGAGATGGGGTGGAGCTCACAGAGGACACCCCAAAGAAGCATGCAGTGCAATGTTGGATAACTGTACCACCCCACCACATGGAGGAACTATAACGTATGGAGTCATTCCATTCGAGAAGGGCATCGCATTGTTTTCTGTTTGTTTTCTCTGAGCACCCTGATGTTTCTACTACCGCATTGCAACAATGCTCGCTTGTATTTCCCTGGCCTTTCCCACGGATGGCAGCTATATGCTAGGACCTGGTGGCCTGGTGTCTTAATCCAAGGCCTGGGGACACCTCATTAGATCGCTGAGTAATTCAGTATTTTGTATAATTTATTATAATTAGGCTTGAACGGAGGTAAAGTTAACCTTTACACTGTCTCTGATGAGAGATTCCCTCAATTCCATCCAACGATCCTTATTAATTACATAAATTAGCTATACGTTAGCTGTAATCAGTTCATCTCTACTGGGTAATGAGTAGTATAAGCAGTATTGGCAGTGAGCATATCGGCTTCCAGGCATGAACTGCTTACCAAGGCTTTTGCGCGTTCATTGCTTGGTTGCAATAACAGAAAATCGGGCACCGTGACTTTAACCTCATTTCCCAGGTAGCTGACCTCCAGCATTCCATCCGGCAGCTCCGGGACTCAAGGGGAGGGGCAGTCGCAGGCTGGGGCATCATCCAGGCCCACATCAGAATCCAGACCCCTGCCCTCTAGTGATGTGGCCCCGGGAGAAGTGCCTTATATCTATATGGAGAACACAACACTAATAACTATTTTGCTTTAAAAATTAAGTAAAATATGGTAGTAGTTAGAGCATATGGCACAGAGTAAGTTCTCAGCAAAGATGAGTTCCCTAGTTATCCCTGTGAGTTTAGTCTTCAAAACCCGGATGAAATGTTCTTTCCTCTAGATAAGAACATTAGTTGTTCCTAATTGCAATGATTGATCCGTCCTGGAAGCTCAGACAACATGCTACCTTCGCCTCCCTTTTGTGTTACCTCACTTTGTCTCAAAGTGAAGTTGGATGTTTGCATGTTTCTCTCACCAGGAAAGGAGGTGGGTTCTCCCGGCTTCCCTGGAATGGTGTATAGTATTGTGTGCTCAATATGCTAACCCATTATATTATTTCTATCCAGAGAGTTTCAATGTGGGTCTGTTTAATTAGTAGAGAGGTAGCTGATATCCCCCTGTGCATTTGAAGGTAATACAGTGACTTTTTTTTTTTTTTTTTTTTAAAATCTTTAAATCCTTTAAATTCATGATCTGCCCTTCCTTCTCTATTTGCCTGAATTATAGAGGTGGACTTGGGGAAGTTTAATGGGACTTCCTTTCTTCGATGAGTGTTCTTGTATTGGGTAATTAAAAACCATCACCATCTAAACCAAGAAACAACCACAAACGCTGCTTAGAAAGAATAATAGGGGTTTAACTTTTAACTAGGCCTGGATTCTTTTTCTA